CAAAAAATGGCCTCTTATTGAATATTAATTGATGGAATAATTAATTATTAGAACCTGCAAAGAAATGAGGAAAGAGGGGCGGGGATTAGAACAGAGGAATGCAGTCTTCATCACTCCATCTAATAATTTGGGCATTTATAAGTGCTATCAGCAAAATAAATTTACTGAATATCTACCATTGATGAAGAATGAAACTTACCAGCAGATAATTCAAAGATAATTCAGTCGTTGGTTCTCCAAAATAAAAAGAAATTTTAATTCTGTTAAATCGATTTTCTACGGACAAATGCTCTGTACAAAATACATTGGCTAGATTCTGAACCATAAACATCTGGGATTCCAAGAAAAATTGATCCAGGGATCTCTGAGACTTACCGTTCGTAGAAATGAAAATTCAAAAACAAAATTCACGGTCTCACTAGGAGCAACTACGAAAGATTACACTGATTACAAATGATTACAGTGATTACAAATGATTACCACTTGATTACCAAAACTAGATCACAAATATGGTAATCATGTGATTACAATGATTACGTGATTATGTGATTACAATGATTACATTGATTTCACTGGGATTACAATTGATTACATCAGCGAGTGACACCACGATTACGCCTGTGAATAGCCCCTCGCAAAAATATGAATTTTGTTTTATTAAATGTGAAGAAATCCAGTGCCAAATAGATTCTTAATCTTCGGGATATGATTCTCTTTCTAAAAATATTGTGCTATTCCCCACGTCTGACTCTTTCGGAAAAGAACTACTTTTTTTTTCTCCATGATACTTTGTCACTGATGCTTAGCAAATTGCAATGCCAGGCCACCCAGCACTGACCTCCCGAACATTTTATTTTTTTCTTGCTGTAATGTTGATATTTGAAAAAAAAAACTTTATCACCTGATTATACATAAGTGTTATTATTGATAATGATAATAATTCGTAGTTTTCATTCTATTATTTATAGAATTATTAAATAAACGACGAAATCGTTCAGGTATTGGCCCGAGTCCAGCTATTGGCCTGTTCACCCTACCCTAAATTTCAGGCAATCACTCACTGAAATTTAGAGACTAAACTTCTAAAATTGAGGATTCACCCAAGTGGAAATTCCGTTCAGCACACCTGAAGTCGGATCAGAAATGAATCTGCCTACAGTCAGGTGCGACTGATCAGGTAACACCTGATCAAAGCCTGGTAAAAAACTGATCCAGTGTTTCTGAGGTCAGGCAGCCTAAAATCATTTTGATCAGATTCGGATTTGGTCACCCTGATTTCAATTTGAGCAGAGTATCTTGAGATGCACCTGGTCAGATTCGGGCCCGCCAGGCCTGATTGAATTTCGATATAAAACGGCGTTACACCTTTGATCCGGACCTGATCCATTCACATCGTCACAATCTGATCTGACGTCAGTACTGACCTGATCAAATCTTGATCTGAACCTGAGCGCAATTTCCACTCGAGTCTTTCAAAGTCACCCAATTTTTAGATTTCTCACTCGTTAAATTTAAAATGCCGCAGATTCCGAAAAACTAAAAAATTTTCTTTCTCCGCGAATTTCCGTAAGTGAGAAATGAGACGAATTATAAAATCATTGTAATGAGCAATTAGCAATTTAAAAAATGTTTAATGCATAATACTACAAACGACCCGTTATCAATGGCTTTACGATATTTAATGATCATGTATCCCATTTGTTGCTGATTTAACCATGGGATATGATCATTAGCGAGTGAAAGAAAACCACCGAACGATGGCGCCGCAGAATTGTAAAGAGAGAGCATCATTGAAACTTACCGTTATCACTATTGAGTTTTACCCTTTCAATGAGTTTCCCAATAATTGAAGCGGAGATACTCAGTATAAATTTCCCATTTCCCGGCGGCCTTTCATTATTTACATTCATTAAAAAACCAATCATTATTCTCGTCATTGACTATGATCAAATTAATTCATTTCATTGTCCAATTGTAATTGAAATTGACAACTAAAGTAGAGGAGGATAAAAAGGTGGGAATTTAGTGCTCGTGCCTTATTTTGGACCGAGAAAAAAATGTTTCTTTTATGCATACATTTAGAAATGTTGAATAAGTTTGGAAAAAAAAGAAAGATACCCCATAAATGGGGATTTTGCGATCCGGAAAATTTTGTCGACGGAAACAGAATGTATATTTCCTCATTTTTTTGGAGATTGATGCGGGGAAGAGAGTAGTCGTCATATACTTGCACCTAGAAATTTGAAATCAATTTCAAAAAATAAAATAATGTAATCACTGGAATTATTTCAATCATTGTCCAGTATCGCCAATAGTATGGTGACAGATACCTAAAAATCAGTGACATTTCCCTGGAAATCAGGGTTATGTTCGTCAAAATTGGCCACATGTTTCCCAAAATCTACAAACTTACTCGGCTTTGAAAAAACATTAATTAAATTAAGACATTTAAATTCAAAAGCATATGGTAATTCATTAAGCCTTGGTCACGGTTCGTGATGAGGCCGCAGCTGGTACGAACCCCAAACATGCCACAATAATTACTTTTCGAATTCAAATTCTCTAACCAGGTCTCTAGATATCGCCTGACTGGCTTAATTAATGTTGAATTAATATTGAATCATTTTTTAATTTTACGATATCGATTGTGCAAATTTTATGATTTCTCCATGTTTCATGACTCCTAGTTCAAATTTGCAATGTTCTTAATTAAAATAATTTGGAATACCGTCAAGGTAGGAGTACTCAAATGAGTATCAGTACCCGAACGCATATCACTAGTTATGACTTATTTCTAAATTATTATAAAGTTTTCCTTCCTTTTTTGCTTCCGAATGGAAGCCTTGTAATCATGATTTTTTTCGATTTCCTAATTTTCAGTGGAAATGCCTAGAAATGTCATGAAACGTGAAGAAATGATGTTTTTAATAAATGTCTGTATGTGTGTAGGTATGTATGTGCACATTTATTCTCGGTTGTCCAGAACCGCACATGCGCTGAAATTCTGACTGCTAATTGGTACTATTGATAGTCAAATTTCTGCTAGGTTTCAGCTCGATCGGTTGAGCGGTTCGTGAGATATAGTGATTCCTTAAAAATCGTTTTTCGCCGATATCTCCTTAACCATGCGACGGATTCCAATTTTTTTATTTTCAAAATACTCGTCATGATGATACCTATTCAATTGGATCCATTTCATCCCAAAAAGACCATTTCACCCTGAGCAATGTAGTTTTATTCAAGTTTTTTCATTTTTCCACTGAAATTGCTTGTATGCATGGTAACTTAAAAAATAATTGAGATAGAAACTTGAAACTTGGTATGATTTTCGGTCTCATGGTAACAAAGTTGGGGATTGTAGATAAAGGGAATCGGACCATTAGTTTCGGGAATGACAGAAACTTGGTCATTTTTGTTTTTTTTTTCTTTCTGAATATGTTGAATTAAAAGTGAGTTTCAGGATCATAACCGTCACAGGGGTTTTATAGATAACAAGTGTCATTGAACACAACACAATTTGACCAGATTCGCTAATGACCTCAAACAACAAATGATTTTGAATTTATGTTTTTGCTTCCATTCGGAAGCAAAAACTATCAAAAAAAAATTTTAATTATCAATTTTCTGTCAGTAGTCCGTTTTGCCTGCCTGGTCCATTTTTCCCTACCCTCTCCTACAACAATTGTATACATAACTAATTGAATAAAGACTTTCATTAACTCGATACGTTAAAAAAGTCATTTAACGTGGTATACGAGCACACGAAACTGCACGGTTCGGGTTTAGAGCCTTTGATCGTTCGGGTACTGATTAAAGAGCCATTTGACCGTTCGGGGACTGACGTTTCGATCGACTCGTCAATTTTCTTTTACTATTATTCACAAGCACATGAATTTTATATCAAATTGATTTTTTTCTATGCCAACAATATTGATGTTTGCAAAGAATTAATGTTTTTGGCTATTCTACATTTGAATAATGAGAAAAACGTATTTTATTACTGAAAAATTCTTACACGTTCGGGTACTGGTGCCTCCAAGGTAATTCAAAATGTTAATAATTGTTAATGGAGTTCATTCAAGGTCATATGTAACATAATCAACCCATAATTTAACATAATTGTAGTATTTGGAAATGTATTTGGACCATGTAGGAATGACTGGCCTGGAGAAATATGCTCCTAAAAAATAAATTCTCCCAAAAAAATGATTCCTTGGCAAAAGTAATTTTTTTTCTCAGTGTATCATGAATTTATGGTCGCATATAATGAAAATACTTGGAATATTAATTAAAAACTTGGTAAAATGAAATATTTAACTATCCCTGAAGTAAATTTATACCAGACAACGAAAACTCAAGTGGCCACTATGAAAACTGCAGCTAACTGAATGCGAGAGGACGTTTGTTGAAGAGGTAAGGGGAATACAGAATTGCTCGTGAGACCTGGGCTCAAATGAATTGTTCCACTCTTGGCCATTTCATTATTAATGAGATCCTCGTAAACGGAGAACACTCTGGGGGTGGGGTTTGGGAGGGGATGGAAAACACAGGGGTAGGAACTTCTACCCATTCATACCGAGACCCCGTAATGCCAACCGCATATGCGGTAACAATACAAATTTGGAAGATACGGATTATTTTTGGTATCTGGGGGATTTTCACATTTTTGACAGGTATGAAAGTTTTATAAATAGACAGTGGAATTGGAAATAAACATCATCGAAATGTACCTTGCGTTTCATTTCACGTGGTACAAACCGCTGGCAATTGTGCAGGAAATACAAAAATTGAGGGGATGAGTCAGAAAAAGATGTAAATTTCCGTTGTTCGTATATAGGATAATATTATTTTATTGTTGCAATTTTGTTTTTTTATTGACATTCACAATCATTTTTAATACCCATATAAAAATTTACGATCCTGTAAATTCGAATTAATTGATTGCTGGTTCCAGTAATACAGGTGATAGTAAATGGAATTGATTCGTACTTTAATTACAGGACCAATAAAACTCGTATGGGCAGAGGAAAATGAAGATGTGCAGTTACCATGCGATGTCACGCCACCAATAATAGACGACAAGGTGGCTATGGTGCTGTGGTTCAAGGATGAAATGGGCCAAGGAATTCCTTTTTATTCGTAAGTCTATGAAATATTTATGCTCTCTACTTCAAATAAGAATGATGAAGCTAATCATACAAAATTTGAAAAACTGATATAAAAAATGTATAAACATTTCACCAATTAATTTCGTATCACGTTCAAAATAAATTACAATAGAATTATTACCTGATTTCAGGGGTCATCAAACACAAAATATAAAGATGAAAAATGTTGGGATTATGTTAATCAATAAGAAGATTCTGATAATTCTTTGATGTAACTACCTTTATTAATTGGAAGGCACCTTACTGATACTCTCCCAGAGACTGAGAACGACACAAAGAAGTTGGTGACGAGCTAGTGTCAAAAATCTGATACATAAAGAGTCATTCATTTAAATCCTTCATTGCTTCATTCTCCTTAGGCTAAATAAAAGAATGTAAACCCTGTGACTTTTTGCCTCTCTACGTTAAAACTATAAAATACTTCCAACAAACAATCATCAAGATAAATTGAAGTATATGAAAATTAGGAATACGGCGTCGTTATTTATTCCACATTTAAATCAATTCAAATCTATTGAATTATCAAGAAAACGAGGACTCCAATTGTCGCAGATAAATGTCACGTGTCCTTCACACACACAATCTCAAATTTATAATTTTTACAACCGCAGATATTTGTTAAATTAAATCATTCAGAATATGATGGTAATTAACGAAGAGTGCACTCGAAAAGAAATCTAATTATTGATCAAATTGTGAATTAATTGGACAAATAATGATAATAAATGTTCAAGCGTCTCTAACCCAAAATATTCGTTATGATGACGATAAATGGAAAGGACTGATCGTTTGGCATCGCTATCGAAAGGGAAAAGAGCGAGGATTCGGTAACGAATTAGGAATTTGTGTTACCAAGCTAGGTTGTTCTTGAATATATGTGTAAAGTCAAGTACTAAAATTCGTAAACAGAATACATAGAATGCAAGTTCAGGCTATTCACGAACTTTAATGCTCGACTGTATTAGACTGAGATTAAAAATTCAAACACAAGTTGAAAAGTTGTTATTCAAAAATTCGTTACAAATTAAAAACAAGTCGAGAATAAGCCTCCAGAAGCAAAAATAATCCATAAAATGACGATGTGTGACTTTTTAGAAAAAAAAGATTTTTAGATGAATTGCTCCATTACAGTATGTATTGAATCGATCCACACAATTTTATACACAAGTGTTACTCAATAATATTAATTAGTATCCAGAGTCTCAGATGTTTATTCCTAGTTTGACGCGTATTATGGAACGCTATATTGCCCCTCAATTGAAAAAATTGGAAAAACGGGAATATCTCGAAAATTTTGTATGAACGGGTATTCATAAAAAAAATTAAATTAATCGGACCAGTTCTTAAGTGCGTACGGGAAATATTGAATAAAACGGTTTTTCACACAAAGGTGAATATCTTCTAAACCACTGGTCCAATTTCCCCTACGCATAACCCCACCCTGTAATATCATAAGAGCAATCACCAAATACAATCTCACCAAATTTCAACATTCTATCCAATTTTTTGGGGAACTATCGTGCACAGAATGATTTTTTCATAACGTAAAATGCCGATTATTACCAAACTGTCACTAGTTGCATAGCAATATTGTAATCTGATTTGATAGATATTATCGCCAGGAATATTTTGACATAAAAAAAATTCAATTCAGTCACGCAGTTTTCGAGATATTGAGGGAAAAAATTTTTCAGAAATTGCTGTATCTCGAGTTTTGCCATTAATTTGTTGAATAAATTAACGATAAACATAATTGGCGTAATGTCTGTCACTATCCAACGTACGCCATGTTTGATGTTTCATCTCTCTCGAAAATAACATCACTAACTTTACCGTTTTATGCTCCACTCACCCCCGCGCGCCTTCCCGTTTTGCCCTACTGAGAAGGCCTCTTAACCGATTGGACTAAAATGGCGCCCAGAAGTATTCCAAAATAATATCAATGATGTGACGATATTTCAGATTTCTAGTTTCAACTTTAGTCCCTTTCTGTGAAGATTTATAAAAATTTTCCGAAAAATTCGCACACACATCCGAACATACATACACGCATTTTCTGAAAATATCGTATCTTCACATTCTTATGACATTCTACGTTATTTCCAGGCAAAATTAGAAGATCGTCAAAATTAACATTTTGTTTTAATATTTTATTGTCACGCAGATGAAAAACTTAGTTTCATGCAAGTAATTTTTGTAATGTCAGAAATTGCTGGGCGAAAATCGACCATCCTCTTTCCATTTCGGAATTAAATTTTCCTGTTTTTTCAATACCACCAGAACATGAATTGTTCTTGAATTGACATACAATACATTTTCGCTTTGTGAAAGATTCTCCCCTCATGACCAAGTTTCCTCCATGGAAAAAACTGTGTAGTGACAACATCTAACGAATGCCAGCGCATGAGGATAAGTGAGTGTAGAAAAAATATAAATCTAAAATTCCAAAAAGTACAAAAAAGAATGAAAATAAATGAATATAAAAATGAGAGAAACCAGGGGGAAACATACGACCGTATGCATTTTCCTCTTTTTCTCCCATGTATACCCTTGTCAACTGCGCCAACCCCATAGTGAGTGACTGACATTTCTCTCCGTGTTTTCATTATTCACTTTTTTCCTCCCCCTCTTTTGATATTTTTTTTCTTCTCACTGCATACGTCGCCCGCTGTATTTCATTCAGTGCACGATGAATTTTCATATTTCTTACGCAATTGTTCCACACTCTCATCATGCAGCATTTGCCTTTATTTATATTTTTTGAATATACATTCGTTTTTATGGTTCAATTTTTCGTGAAATACAGACAATACTTATTCACATTTCACTTTACTATATGTTTTCAAAGCCTGAGGCATTAAAAATTCTCTCATTAAGTATTCATACACTTTTCGTGGATTTTTTTCCTTATTTAGATACTGGTAAACCATATCTGAAATTATGAAAAGAGTGAATTTGTATTTCTTTCCAAATTAAAACCGGAGTCTTACCTAATGGAAAATGACGATTTTTGGTGGAAGGTTTTAGTTCACTAGTCAACAGCCATAACAATGTTCCATTTCCTAGGGATATATATATATATATATATATAT